GCTTCCCTTACCAGCTAACGATACCTTAACTCCAGCGGGGTGAGGCCCCACGTCTATTATGCTCGACTGTAATCGGGAAGATGTGGGCCCGTAGAGGAAACAGTAAAAAAGGTTCGAATCGACTACACGAGCGCCAGCTAAGAGGGGTTAAAATCTCAGATCCCGTGGACCTGGGACCGGGACATGAAACGACCAATTTGTAGGCGCTCCCTCTGTACGGCAGCCGTGGGTTAAATTGCGGCCTGCAGCTGCGAGTCACTGTTCTTGAGAAGAGAGTTCAGAAGTTCTACGGCGAACGACCATCAGAGGGCCAAAGAGACAAAGCAGCACAGATGGAGGAAAATGAGGAAAACCCCAGATCGCTTTTCCTCATGATGTAAGCATCCTCGTTGTTGTAATTCATCCGCCTGCTTGCACGCTGGGGATCCTACTTGGTGAACTGTCGTAAATGAGTCGATCAAGCACGAAGTCTTCACAAATGGTTCTACAGCGTACGCCGATACTCGGGAAAAGCTGACTGAACTCAAGTGAAAAAGACTGCGTACTTGGGGAGTGTGATAGCGATGAGTGGGGAACATAAACACTGACAGTCTAGTTGATAACCAACGGCATCCAGACCCCTCCTCCCCAGAGCCAACTTGGAAATGAGACTCGATCCCCACCTCTCTCTGTCAGTCTTTCCAACACCCATCGTTCCACGAGGACACGATAAGGTCAAGACGACGGAATGTGGACGTCATTACAATGGCCGACCTGGCACAAAGTTTCGGCCAACAACGCGTGTAACACATGTGACGGTGGTCTTCATTCCGCATGTAACAGACTTCACGCATTCAGATCTCCCATTAATCGTGATGATTATGATGATGACTGTCGTAAGACCACAACAAGAGCGATCACTGCAAACCCAGCCTCAGTCCGAAAGACCGATTTACCTCGTACATTGGCAGGCTTCTCATGTCACAGCTGGTTCAAACGTAGGCCAGATTTATCCTAGTACAGACAGAGAGAGGGGTCGAGCAGAATCGGTCGAACTCTGGCGTTCCTTTCGACGCAGGAACCAAGACTGAGGTGGTTTGGGCATGTTCTTCGTCGTCCACCTCGGGAGCTCAGTCGTACTGCGCTCGATTCGTCCCCGTTACCCCATTAGAGGCGTCGACATAGTTCGTCAAGACATGGAGGTGGTTTTTGGACCTTCGGTATTCGGTCTTAAGCGTTGGCGAGGAGAATGGATTCAACTGCCCGGATCGTCACGCGTGGAGCGGGACAGTTCGAGACATCATCGGGGCCGGCTGGATCAGGCATGGTAGCAGCGCCGTACCAAGTAAAACTGGCACGCATTAAAAGGGGTGTGCAGAGTCTGCACATCGCATGACAAAGGCCACAGGCCACAGGTGTGTTGGCATGATTCCACTCCATGTGCATGCATTGTACATACGTTCACAGAAAACTAAGGATTGGCGGGGCGGGGCATAGTGCGGGTGCCGGTTCATTCGGCTTATGAAGTTCCCTAGGGGTTTTGGCTTGTCTGCCGGGTGATGCCCTCAGATCAACCTTATAACTCGTCGAAGGCTGCTCATTTGTCGAAGTTGCTGCTGCTGCTGCTGTTGCCAACTCTTCCTCCAGTCCAAATCTCACATTCATGATGGTCGCCATAAGACCATAACAGAAAGCAATCACTGCAATGGTAGGGGGCGCTCACCGATCGTTCATACGGAACTCACTCGTTCCGATGTGCCTTATGGGCGCTCTCTCGAGCCCAATCAGCAGCCGCACAGCGGCGCATGATATAGGTAGAATGCTATTACCGACAAAGACAAGGGAGACTGAAATGGCCATTTCTGGCTTATTAGCCGTCGTCAGCCAGTCATACCCAACCCCGAAGTGTGGAACATCCGAGGCTCGAACTTGCGACCTGTTAGTTAGAAGTCCGCGCCTCTAACCACTGGGCCACGAGCCCGTTGCCTTGTCGGTTTCGATCGGGAATATACAATGGTAGGGGGCGCTCACCGATCGTTCTGACGGAACTCACTCGTTCCGTTGTGCAATCCCAGCTTTAGTCCGAAAGGCCTGCGTATCTTGTTTATTGGCAACCTTTCGAGCCACAGCTTGTAGCTTGGCATGCTGGTTTAAACGCACGCTAGATTTATCCTGGTACAGAGAGAGATCGTGCAAAATCTACCACACTCTGGCTTTCCCTTTAACGTAGATCTAGGTTAAACCGGCTAGCGATAAAATCGGACTGGCATGAAGCCTTAGAAAACAGTAGTATGCATCGCAAACGGGTTAAGGGGATCTGAGGCTATTACACTACAGACGGATTCAAGTGACCTAGCCCAAGGGACTTGAAGTTACTACTATGGCTGAACCCCGCCTATTCGCGGCTCCGTATTCGTCGATTTTTTTCGAAGAGCGTATTTAAAATATCTGCTAATTATTATCACTTATTTTGCGACTATAAGCATTCTTGAATAAAAAGTGGTTTATTAATTTTTAAATACTAATATTAATATGAACGCAGCAAAATACCAATAAAGTGTACTTTCTCTTCTTAAAAAAACATTCTTCAAACGATACGCAAATTCCAAACACCAAGGTTCCGGAAGAGAACACGCAGCTTGTGAAGCTGCAATACCTAGATGCAGTGCTATTTATTCTTTTGGGTACAGTACTCGATTATTCCCTATACTTGTGAATGTACCAATGTCAACCCTATTGACAGCAAACGTTATCAGAAAACGACAAGGCTTGAATGCCGTATGTAAGAAAACCTGCGTGCCTAAACAAAGAGGTAACTTGAGTAATTTTCGACTTAGTAAGAGTGACAATTGTAGGTGTGCTTACGTACAGCTTTAAACCATAGTTTAAGGTGACTCTGAAATAATATTAAAGAGTTTTGCAGGAAGATAGTTTAAGGTATATCTTGTGTTTGGGCATTTAAGTAGGCAGTTATTGGCGTTTTAGATGGGTCTCGGGTATTCGCGGGTTCCAGATATTTGCAGGTAGTTGTGGTCTCTACTCAAAATTGAAATAAGTTTTAGTCACCAACAATACACTTCAAGGAAACCTAATTCCCTAGGAAATTAATTTAATACGAGTGGGACTGGTTAATCCTTTCTAAGCAAGATAACATAGCGTATAAAAGGACTTGGGATGTACATTCTACTTTATTGGTGAGGTTTTCTCGAGGCGAATCGCCTGGGTGGCCAGGGGAGATTTCAGGACGATGAAACGCGCATCACGGTGTGTAACTGAAGGCGAGATAATGGCCAACAAGCGAGTTTCTGTTCCTAGGGCAGCGGTTCCTTTGCCGAGCAAATTACAGAATCAGGCCAAGCACAGACGGTCGTCATTATGCTTAAATAAATTCAACAGAAGACCTGAGCACATCGACCGTCTACCACGCAACTAAACAACGACAGGGGTGAGGATGCTTATGATGACAATCTGAAAATTGCTGTCCTATCAGGTCATTTGACGCAGGAGAATTGAGATCAAAGACGGCAGTTTCGAGTTATCAAGTCAGTGTAGGGCGCTCGGTGCCAATCAGCATAGTTCATAAGGTTACCCGCAAAAAGCTATAATCAGCTAAACGCAGGTGAATCTCCAAGACATGCAATCAACGCGGAATACAAGAACCCACCATCTTTTATGTCCATGTAACGTCGGCCAAGGAAGTATATGGGGACGCCCCTGGTGAAAGTGGGAGCAACCGATAGGACCCAGCCGAATCTAATCTGATTCCAGGCTGCCCGTAGGTGATCCCCAACACCGTGAGAGACATCACTGGTGGATTTGCTGGAGGATCTGTGAGAGAGTCCACTGTCAGTTGACGCAGGACTGGTTCGAGGTAGCATGCTGGGGTGACGTGATCCGGTGACACAGTGACCGTGAAATAAGCATTCCGCGCAGGGGTATAAATCCGGGGGAGACAGGAAGAGCTGATTATCCCCTTGTATCAACTGGAATGACGTGAGACTGAAAAATGAGAGGCGAGGTCCCGTTTACAACTGCGGATAGCGATGGATATATATATATCTCGGAAGAAATGAGTTCTTTGGGAAAGATAAACAAATTTAATTGCAAATCTCCGACTTTGGTTCCCCAAGTCGTCCTCGGAAGTAAGTGTGCAAAACTGTTAACATCTAAACACGCCTAAAAATCGATTTTACTTTGTCACTCCTGCTGGCGTAATGTTCAGATTGGCCAATGACTTTTCTACTTTTCCTTGAGGTTGTTATACATGGCATCCAACTCTACGTGTCAGTTGGTGCAGGAGTTATCAGAATGGATGGCCTCTAAAAATTCGCGGCCTTTCTTAGATGAGCAGACGCCTGCAATGTGAGTCTTGTCCCAGGCGAATTTGTGTCCGGTTTCCAGCGTACGCATGGCAACTTGGGATAAGTGGTCTAGTCTTTTTGCGGCCAGCTGGTGTTCGTGTATTCGTGTAGAGGCTGATTTCCCAGTTTGACCACAGTAAACCGCATTACAGGTGTTGCATGGTATCTTATAGACGAATTCCTTCTTATCTAAATATCCAACCCTATCCTTCGGGTGTACAAGCTGGTTACGAAGTGTAGTCGTCGGCTTGTGCGCCACATGCATTTGATGCTTCCTCAGGTGTCTTTCAACTAGTTCGGACACATTCTTAATGTACGGAAGTGTTTGCCAGTCTCTTTTAGGCATGCATAAATGTTAACTGTTTTGCACACTTACTTCATGCCTGAGGACGACTTGGGGAAGCAAAGTCGAAAATTTAAGATTAAATTTGTTTGCTTTTCTCAATGAACTTATTTCTTCCGAATTATGATTCTTGGGAGGCCTGTTCTCAAATTTATACACACATATATATGAAGGGTAAGTGTCTCCCAACGTCAACACACATATATATATGTAGACAGAGAAAGAGGGGATAGCAGAACTCGAGAAAACAGGAGCAGGCGTTTATTGGTCACCACTGTACAAGCGTAAGCTGAGAAGGAGGGAGAGTGGCCAAAGCCTCATTCGTAAAGACGCGCATTTCCTGGAACGATGGGCTTCGTTAGGAGGCCGCGGGAAACAAATGGCGCTGGTGGGGTGGTATGAGGCAGACTGACACCGGCTTCCAGGTGGTACTGCTTGGCGATGTCTACAAGACTCTGTCGAAGTAAAAAAATGATGACAGAGACGATTAAACTCACCTGAAAAGTGCGCGGTTCGTAGAGGGCAAGGGTGTGCAGCATGTTTCGGTTGAGTGGAATGTTGGCCTGGGCCAGACCCTCGTAGAGGGCTTTTGAAGAGTACAGACCATGCTCCTCACAGGCCGACTGAATACGTGCGTCCCAGAGGGCATACATGTCACGGCGGCGTGTCTCACGCACGGTCTTGACAAATTGAAGGGCCTTGGCGAGGCGGTCTCTGGCAAGTCGAAAGCATCGGGCCGTCCGTCCTCGGAAGAGCTGCATGTGGGGGCAGGGTAGGAAGTTAGGAGGGGAGAAGATTATTGGTTGCTGTGGAGTACAGAATACTGATGAGTAGAGGCTGAGTGTGACTGAACGATGACAAAAACACCATCGGGGGCGCAAACGCTCAGACGAGTACAGTCAGGCTGCAGCAGTCGTCGAAAATGTAAAAGTGTTATATGCAGAATAGCATTACCGCTAAAGACAAGGGAGACTGGAATGGCCATTTCTGGCTTATTAGCCATCGTCGGCTAGTCATACACAAGCCTGAGGTGTGGAACACCTGTAGCTCGATCGCGCGACCTGCTGGTTTGAAATCCAACGCCCCTAATTAATGAGCCACGGACTCATTGTCTTGTCAGTAGAAGGACGGTCACCGATCGCGCTACGGAACCCACTCGTCCCGCCAGCGGCCGCACTGTGGTGCGTGATATAGAAAGAGTGGTACGAGTGAATCCTGTGGCGCGACCGATGAGCGTCCTTCCACCATTGCATATACCCGATCGTAATGGACAGGGTAACGAGCCAGTAACTCAGTGGTTAGACGTGTTGGACTTTTAACTAACAGGTTGCGAGATTGAGACCCAGGTGCTCCACACTTCAGGAGTGGGCATGACTGGCTGACGACGGCTAATAAGCCGGAAATGGCCATTCCAGTCTCTCTTGCCTTTGTCAGTAATGCTATTCTGCCTATGCCATGCGCAGCTGTGAGGCTGCTGGCGGGGCTCGTGAGAGAGCCCCAAAGTACGACAGGACGAGTGAGTTCCATAACACGATCGGTGGGCGTCCTTCTACCTTGTTCTGCCTCAATGGCTGCAAGAGCTTGATACCACTTGGATTTTTGAACTACATGTCAGAGAATGTCGGCGTCTGTGTGACGCAGCTTTCACACAGATTTGACTAAGGGGTTAGTTTTTGGGGAAACTAAGAAGAGGCAATTTCCAAATTGAATTATCTACCAGAAGACAGACGGAAAATGCTGGGGAACTCACTGACGAGCCGAACTCCTTGCAGTTGCGCCATGCAGCGGCAGAATATCGGCGAAACACGCATTAATGGGCTTTCAGCTAGTACCTGTGCTGTTAGTATGGGATCACCTTCCCCCTAAAGTGTTTATACTGCGTCAACGCAACGGACAGTCTGGTATCGAAAGTGATGTGTGTGTTCAGAAGAAGATGAAGTTCCAAAAGACGGGTGCAGACTAGTATGAAGCTAAATTGATGATTTATCAAGAATGATCACAATGTAGGTACCAAAGTTTATGGGAAATATGCGGTAAACAATGGGAAAACGCAGAACCCAGGATGAAAAGGGCAGTTTATAATTGCTCAAATGGGACCTTTCAGTAAATAATTGGATGGGGGAGGGATAGGAAAGAGTAATTATGCAGATTTTTTACTAAGGCTTTGTTGTCACCGCCGGAAACATTTGTGCGTTACCGTCTGCGAGTGTTCTGACCGTGAATCCCAAAGCAAGGCAGAACGCCTGTGTCTCGTCTTCGCAACCAAACCTGATCGGTGAGGGTCAGGCTCACATCGTCCCAAACCGAGTGTGAACTTAGGTTTCCTACTCGTACTTTTATTTGGTACAACTGTAATAATTTATGATATAGTCAGTCTCGATGATGTCGCTGTGAAGAATGAATCTGAAGTGCTCGACCCATTCTCTACGCCGGCAACGGAGGTCGAATACCATTAGTCTTGTTGCTGGTTACCAGGGACGCCCACATGTGGCGCGTAGCTGCGAAATACGCAAGCTCTCGGGTCTGGCCAACCAGGAGTCGCGGGCCAGCAGCGACACTGATGCCGGAGCGCGGACGGCTGGGGCCTGGCACGATGACTGTCTTATAAAATGTCTCAAAGCCTTATGACAAAACTGCGACAGGGCTACTATTAACAGCCTGTAGATAAGTTTGCTGACTACCGCTACCTTGTGGTTAGGTTCTTGGATCAAAACGCTGGAGGACACGCCTTCCAAAAAACAATCTGAGCAGTTGTTAAGGAAAGCCCGTGCTCCAAATCCCATGAAACGTCCGATACAAGCATTACTTAGAGCTCGGCGGTGGAGTATTTGTTAGGTCTTCCTGCAGACGCATGAAAGCAGGTAGGCTATAGACTTTTGACGAGAGAGTTACTACAACAAACGGACAAAACGTTACTCGAACAACACTTCGATGTAAAAACGTCTATTGTGGACGGGGCCTAAATATTCAGTCACAAGTTTCTCCTTGACTTCACAATTACGACCTAAAGTAAGGGTCTTCGTGTCTAAAGGTGCTATTCTTAGACCGGTAGTCTAAATCCTTTCGCAACTCTGAGATTTGGGACTAACTGAAAAGTGTTGACATGCTTGTGATAAAGTTGTCATTAATAGTGATAACATTTTAAATAACACTGAAGGATTGTTACGCCACGAATTCCTTGTAGGTTCCGGACAAGATGCATTCTAAACGACCAGATTTAAGAAGCGAAAGATTAAGATAACCCGGTAGGCTGGGTTAAGAAGACGTATGAATGTGCAAGGATTTGGAATTCCAGTATGCAAGCAAAATGTCTGTTTACTAATCATGCAAACCTTTAATTGGCTTGAAAATCTTATTTATTCGACAACATCAAAAACGAGCAAACGGAAGGCCACACTTCTATCGGCACGAATATATGCCGCGTGAGACTACGTAAAACGTGAGTAGAGAGGACAAATAAAATACAACAGTCAAGTGATTAATTTTACAGCAAAACTGCAAGGATTTAGTGAACGTATACGAACAAGTAAGTCACCGTTCAAGACAGAGAAACAGTAACCAGTAATGCTTTGATTGTAATTTTGAGTTCCCAATAACCAAATGCATGTAGTAAACTTTGCTTGATTGCATAAATGAGTGAAGGGGAACAGAAGAATTGGTGCGGCTTAGAATGATAGACAGCAAAACAGAGAATAATGACGACACAGGCCATAGTATAGAAGACATACAAATGGCTGAAAATTAGGCAAAATGAATTTCTTGAAAGACACCACCGTTGCGTCTTAAGTCAATTAATATTACTTGAAATCATGCGAAATGATAAGCCAGTTCGATTGTCGCAACGACTATCTCTACTGTGTGCCCCAGAGCGTGGTGCTCGCGGTACGAGAACCTGCGCGTGAATTAGTTTATAGTGATAATGGACTGGCGTAGCATCCACCGCACTCCCCCCTTCCTGGGCCTGGTGGCGAGACAGAGTCAGGACAACCGGAAGCAGGATTGGGTGCCGTGGATGAAAAAGCTAGAAGGTCAGTCTACGCGAGCTACATACGAACTGGCACGCACACGATGGACCGGGTTTACACAGAAACAAGGAGGCGGTTCGAATCCAAGTTGAGTGGGTGCGCCAGAGGAATCACATTAAGGAGGACTTATTCCAGCCCGGATCCCGTCCTGAGAAATGGTTGTTCTGCCAGCTTGTAGACTTTAAAGTAACGACTTTTGGCGCGTCGTGCTGGAGTTAAGACGCGTTAGGCTATTTATAATGAGGAATACAATGAAATATCGGGGCGGCGGAGTGCCCTGAGTTTACATTTTCGCTTTGTGTGCGTCAGCTCGTCGTCCGAGCCAGTCAGTGACCTACTGCTGGGATTGGGCACAGATGGCTACCGCGGAATGAGCATCCGCTTAAGTGTGCCACCACATCTGCATGTGCGGTCCTTGTCATGAGATGAGCGGACTGCACAAACTGGTTAACGCGTGTCGTGCCCTAATCTTACCCCTTTGTTAATTCAGTGCGGCAGAGTGGGCCGTTATAGTTCTCTGGGTTAAGATCATGTGATATGGTATGGTCAGATAACGCACTCACCCATCCAAGGGAAGGTGTCTGACTCGGGTAATAAAAATAATCATACATATGGTTTGAAAATTTAGTATTCCAACACCGGACAAGTGGCTTCTCAAGTTCCTGAACGGTAGTCAATGCGGACTATTGTATAACTTCAATTAGGATGGGCCAAGTGGAATGGGGTTGTTTTTGTGAGGGGGGAGAGCGAACACCCCTTAAATTCTTGCTGCTAATATCGGTGTGCAACGAACAGTTGTTTTAAACAGTATTTTTTTTCTCTCGGCCCCTTTTTTCAGAATTACGCACCACGGACGCAGGACGATTGCTACCTCGCCACATTCTCGCTAAGTCCCGTTATCCATTTGACCATTTTTCTATCCATCGAACTCGTCGTTTTGCATATCTCTCTGTACAATTTTACCTAGTTTATTACCGTAGTTTAGCTTAGTATTTTACTACTCGTGCCTTTCCATATATCACGTCACACGTTCTATTCTGTTTCGAGACGTTTTGCACTTTTCGGCGTACAAGAATAAACATTTCAACGATCATCACTTTGCCCTGATTCCTCATGTCTGAACCGCACAGATCCCCCGCTGACTTGTATTACGAACTAACCCGCCTTTTAAGAGAGGCTACATTGACGACATCCCATTGCGAACCTCAGTCGACTTTCCCAACCTCTAGTCTAGTCCGTCTTACCCCGTTGGACACCTACAGGTGTCAAAGTCATTAACAGGCTCGATGATCTGAAATGGCCGATTATGAGAAGACAACCATTCAGAGTTTCTGAACAGAATCCGTGAAGCCCCAAATGACATCCGTTTATCTGCATCATTTCCTGTCAAAATTACTGCTATCTCCATTTAATAAACTATCTCTACGTTCCTTTCGTAAAAATAAGCTGAAATATAATCAATGTGAATATTATAAGTATTCGTAGACGTGCTGAGTCCAAATGGTTTACTCGGCAAGATGGTACTGAAAAACCTAATTTCAGGCTATGAACAGTAAAGAATTAAAAACCAAAAGGTTTTTTCTTTCCAAGGTCAGGCTGGGAGCAAAACGGATATTACAGTTGCATGAACCCTTCTCTTACGTGCATGCATTTAACTAAGGTTAGGCTTATGCCTTAAAAAAGTAATCGGTCAAGAAATTGATTAACAGTCGGCCCAAGAACAATGCACGGAAGGATTCGAAACTTACTAAGGGATAATTGTTAAGTTTATATCGTTGGTTAAATCAGAAACATCTATTTGCAGGTCAGTTAACGCATACCGGGGTAAATATCAAGTTTTTAAGCTCAATTTGAATACGGTGTATTGGTAAAAGATCTGGAATCGCTGCAGTAAACCGGAAGAAAGAGCACGTGAAGTCCGTTATCTCCATAACCAGTTTATGAAGAGGGGCTATCCGAAGACATTTATAAGTCGCTGTCTACGCGGTCACCCTCAGAGAACTCAGGCAGCAACACGGCTGAAGATTTGGCATTCTTCGCCGCACATTAAGGACGTTCCAGAAGTGACTGCGCACAGCTGCGGAACTAGGTATTGGAATTGAAAACCAACCCAAAGCCATCATGCGCAGGAAGGTCATGAAAATTGAAGACCGGCTAGATCCTGGGAAGCAGTTTGGAGTAGTGCATCACATCCGTTGTCGAAACTGCCCTTGTCATTACACAGGTCAGACTGGACGCATGCTCGGACCGCACATACAGGAACACAAGCTGACTGTGCGACAAGGCGACGAATTATCGTAAGTGGCTGCCCACACGTACGAAATGGGTCGTCAGTCCAACTTCGCAGACATCAGAATGATCTTCCACGCCAGAAACAAAGCAGGCCGAGCATTGATTGAGGCCCGGGTCTCGGATGAGGGCTCAGTTAATCGATTTATCGGTCTGGCGCCGGCACACAGGGCCCTGCGCAGTCGCCTTTAGTTCTACGACGTCGATCGATGATTGGTTAGCTCCCCCTACAATTGTCGCTCGTTCTGTTGTTGCTACTATCTATGACGATGGACTCCTGCACGAGTACAAAAGCTCAGAACTAAATAAAACTATTCCGGTACACGAAGAGTCTTCTTCTTTACATAACCTTAGTTTTGCCGGCTAAACCGGGCAAAGCACTTTGACAGTTTGTAGAAGCGGAAATGCAGAGAACCGAGTTCTGGACGAAGAGTTATTATATCAAAATCACATGCTCGAAAACGCCGTCAAAAGGTAGGAGTTTTTTAAAGAAGAATACAACGAGACCTTTTCCACTCTTATGTGTCCTTGACTGACAAATTCCGATTTGTCAGTCAAAGACACAAAATAAATGTGACGCACAAGGCAATTAGCCACTACACAAATACGAATTGTGTTATCTATGTTGGCATAAAGAATATTTTAAACTCAGATGTGCTTGGCATGTCTCTGATTAAACGGATGTCAAGCCCAAATTGGACATGATCGGGGTTATAGCAATAAACTATGTTACGAAATACGACATAAAAAGAGGAGGTTTCTGGGCAGAAATATGTACTTACAAAAGAAAAGCGGAGGACCTGATCTTTCCTAAACCATGGATCTAGTTTACGGAAGGGGTGAATTTTACGGATCTGAAGGACGTTTGTCAGCCTCATTTTTAAACTACCCAGGATATTATTAGAACCGTAAAACAATGAAGTCGGTTAACAAGAAGAGATTGGTTGGTATATTCCGAGAACAGGGTATGACCCATCATTTACATCTCCTGCCGGGTTTCATTCAGAGTGTCGAGCAGTGACTAGCAATTTATCATCGGAAATTTCCACAAGTAAATATTCTGGACGTTTGGATAAGAATTTCCGTCTCCTTAATGCTATCAAGGGATTATTCCGGCGTGTGTGCCTCATTAGGTAACGTCTCCAGTTTTTGGGCTTCGTGTGCTCAACATGGGGAGACCCTGGTTTTTAACGGGCAAAATCTTTGATAAAACATCGACACACTTCACTCATGACAAGCAGAAGAGCTGCCTCTTGTGAGACTTTTGGAAGGGCTTTGCAATGGAATGGTGATGAATCAAGGGAACCGCGGAAATGACAGAATGTGCAAAATAGAGGGCTTTTGAAGTACAAAGAAAATGAAATACAACGCCCCAGGTCAAGATAAAGACGCGCAACTGAGTCTGCAAGAGAAGTTCCTCATTTAAATAAATAAATAAAAGACTTTTATTAAGGACCCATCGGGGTCCCTTCAAGGCAAGTAAAAATAAATTTTCATAAAAATGTTAGACGAGGTAGACCGGATGTGCACAATATGCAATTCATAGTTTCCACATTAGTATTCCGGTAAGAAAAATGATGAGCGAGCAGTGAAAAAATCCACCGTAGAATAAAAAAATGATTGGGTTGGATACCAGTGTCGCAACACTCCGATTCGCCGCGAATCGGAGTGTTGCGACACTGGTATCCAACCGTGAAGAATCGAGAATGTACATAGACCTACATGACCTTAGAAGGTTGTTCGATAACTCTTTCGGAAGTGCTGGTGATATCTCCAAGTAGCAGTTGATCTGATATTTCGTCGGATGACGTTCTTCTGCCGCTAGCACAGGCGTACTCTTGAGCTACAAAGGAGTTCGGAGGTTCAGAATTAACCAAAGGAATCCCGAGGTTAACGATATCTTGAAAGACCGCGGAAGGTACAGGGCTGCCCGCTGAGTCCCGACATTGATTTCACCATCCAGAGGTGGAGGGGGGCCGCAGGCTTTCGTCATTTAGCAAGTCCCTTTCGGCACAGTATAATCTACCAGACGAAAATTCCTCGCTTTGCAGAAATAAAATGCTCATAATGTGCAACAATACGTTTATTACGGCTAATTCAACAGGTAACTTACTATGGCAAATTGAAAAAGACGGTCTTGCACATCTTCGAAGTGCAAGTGCGACACAAGACGCAAATAATGTATCAGACTGTTTAGTAAGCGAACGCTTATAAAGGGCGACGGAAAAAAAGTTTTCTTTATAAAAGGATCGACCGAAAATATACACCAACTCATAAGTTATATCAAAGCGATAGTTTTTTCTCCTGTAAAACTAATCCAATCATTGGCGGGAATACAGTGCTGCAACACTAGAGATGAGTTTTTGCTCTACCTATTTTTCGTTGTAGTTTTAATGGTCGTTTGCACTTCAGTCATGAGGGTACTTTTTTCTGAAATTGAGGAGCGGATAAAAAGTAAGTATCATTTTATGCCGCGTAGTGGTCCCAAACACTTACCTACTACCACTCTGTCCTGCCGGCATGTGGTCCCCTCGGTTGGTGGGACCTGGAGGGGTTGGGAAAGTGATATGCCCCCTCGCCATGATTTCATGCATGTCTAATCAGTTTAAGAGAAGTACTATACCGCATACAGAAGTCTTATTTAGAACAAAAATAAACTAATTAGTCATAAATAAATAGTTAATAACGCATACGTTTGTCGCTGAAGCCTACTCGATCGCTCCATCCACCGATGATTAAAAACGGGACTTTGTTTGCGTGAATCACATGTTGAACACTAATCTGCTGAGTAAGCTGCTTGGTGAACATAGTTCATACCTTGATTGCTTTTTTCATATCATGTATGCACACGTACATGTTTTTTTTCAAAGTAGTGGTTTCGGATTTAGAGTCACGCATACAAAACGCCTGTGCGCGCCCAGTCGTAACATTTCAGTAAAAATTTCTCCCTTCCTTCTAATAAATGTCGATTTTCCCTTGGTAAGGCAGGAGATAACGGGATTCTGTCAAAAATGATTATTTTCGGTTTGCCCCGACATCACACTGATACCCAGAAAATATAAAAAATTTAAAAATGTTGACAACTAACACCGACATCACGGTCGCAGTTGTCATGTTTAAAGTGTTGTATTCAACGTCATAAGCAACCTCATGATCTCATAGCGTGATTTACCCCGCCGAGGACTTGACCACTGTTGATCGTGGGGTCTTGCGACACAACTAGACGCCTTTTATACCTCAACTTTTACCAACTCCACCAGTAACCCCTAGTAAACAAAATAGGAACTTAGTTCAAAGTCAAAATCGAGAGCGTTTTCCACCACCCTAACATTGAAAAAGCTCCATTTCTGTAAGGAAACGCCCTCTTCATGGTCGCCCGCCATTCGCAAAATTTCACTCTCCTAGACACGACGCATATCCAGATATCCTCCAGATCTTCTACTTAAGATGTTAAACCCAATATGTAAATATTTCCGTCTAGGAATGACGACCACGCTCCACATGAACTGGTTTTCTCTCATCCTCCAGCGTATTGTTTCCACAGCCGAATTCAAAATGGACTCCAAATACGAGTTTTGTTGCTGTGCTAGTAAATGCACCCCGTCCATGATGTTACCTCGACGGGAATACGATGCAGTACCCAGCCTATGTATTTCCCGTAGAAACCCAATCAGTTAGCATTAGTGATCAGTTTGTCTGTCTGCCAGTCGCATCCTCGTATCTACTCTTCTTTATCCACATCGGCGATTTAGATGTCAGTGTATATATAGAATAGAATAGAGTAGAATCGGTTTATTGTAGCGCCCCTTGGGCACTGTCAGTCCCCTTTGAACTCAGGAAAAAAACCTAAAACAAACTCGTCAATTTCAACTGCACTTTGACTTCATTTGCTTCGGGTGTCTGGTTAGCTAAAAGAGCGCGAATTGAGAGTTTGTTTTAAGTCAAAAAACCTCAGTTCTAAGGAAAGATGATAACAAAATTTTCAAAAAATAATGATATGTACAATATAAAAATGGAAGTTTGCAGTTTGGTAGTTTTCGGGGGCATGAACAATATGTCCTTCATGGCAAATGAAGAACTTTGATATCGGCCTGACCTTGACATTATTTTCCTGTTGGGTAAATGTCGGTGTGCTCTAGTTGCTGGTTGTCAGTCTATCAGACCAGCTGTAAGGGGGCGGTCGCACAGCTCCTACGTGTTTTTCAGGAGGCTTGCCATCGTTGTCTGGTCTAAGAGCTGGAAAAGATGAGTATATATCAGGAGTAAGAAACGTTCAATGGTAAGTCACAATAAAAGCTGTCAAAATACTATTGAATCATGTATCATATTGTTCTTGTTAATGTGAAATTATAGGAGTAGTGGTCGACTGTTTACTATGACCTAATATAGTTCTATATATGTTTAATATGGCCTTAATATAGACATAAGCACGACTAATATGCAGGGTTTTATCGAAGGGTATATTTTTATTAGCTCTATAAGGGATATTTAGTGTGAGGTGACATAGCTGATGAAAACGAGAAAGGGAGCGAAAAAAGAATATCATTATCTGTTCTATGTTTATCAAAGATGCTATCTTTTATAAATTTGATTATTTTTAGTGCTATGTTCCGGTATTTTTCAATCGGCTGGCATCATCAGAGCCCTTTTGGACCAAATTCTATATCAAAGCATTGACTCCGGCAAAAGCTTTGGAAAACCGTAGTTAAGGACATACCCTGACAAAAACGTGCTTATATTTTAGGTTAGACAGACAGCCATTAAGTACAGTGTTATTGAATCTTTTTTTAAACGCCTAAACGTCTCCCACTATAATACTCGAATTAGGTAGTTTGTTCCATCGTTTAATAGTCCGGTGAGAGAATAAGTTGGCCCGTTCCTCAGACCCGGCGTACTTTGTCTTCAACCTGTATTGGTAGCTTCAGAAATTTGTCGATTGTGCCGATTCAAAAAATCGGCCATTTTTAGTGCACGGTCAAATACACTGGCAAGTTTGAAAACCCCGACCATAGCCCTCTGTACAACCTATAAAAGGGGAAAGTGTTTGAGCCTTTCTAGTTCTCCCTCATAAGGTAGGCACTTCAGTCCGCTGATCGGCTTGGTCGTCCATCGTTGAACGATTTCGAAATGAGTTTGGTCTTGTGGCAGTTCGCGTCTCCCTGTCCTCCGTCTTAATCACGCTGCCTTCCCGTCCAACTCACACTTCTTGTCGATACGCCACTGGGACGCGCGAGGATGGTCACTAGCCTCTTGAGTGCTCGAGGCCAATCAACGTTGTCCCTTCTCTGATTGGCTGGCGGACGCTGAGACAACGAAAGACGCCCACACGCGCCGGGTCTCGGCAACTCGAAGGCGCACACAGACAACACAACTAGCCTGGAAAGCGCGCTCGCGGCGGCTCCTTACAGAGCCTTTGCGCACGCACTCTTACAGCAATGAAGGTTGTCCAACTCGAACCGTCTTCCGTGACTTCTGATTTGGGAATCTTTGTCTTGTCAACCACACCACCTTCGACAGTCTTACTTCATCTAGGGGCATCTCACCTGAATGAACTATCCGAACTTATTCTAATAGACTTAAGATGTTCCCATTCCAGTTTCAGTTTGTTTGGTGAGGATAATAGGCAATGGTCCCTTCTAACACTATCGTCTACATGCCAGTGCAAAGTATACATAAGTACACGGATTTTTAAAAAGTTCTCTCATTAAAATAGTATTCGCAAAATGTTAGTAACATTGCTTGTAAGAGAAACTCATGCCTGGAGTTGACGTAGTGTTTTGTTCAGATTCAGAATGGCGAGAGAAAACACATATAATTACCCAAGTATTGCCTAAAAAGCTTGAGGGACGTCGCCTCCACGACGGATTGAGAGAGATCA